AATGTGCCGCCAAGGCAGCATGTGGGGATCGCAGGGTAAACACGGAGCTCGAAACTTGCAGGAGGATTTCTGATAGGCAGCAAATATCTATCGATATGGTCTCTAGTTTTCGAGCAAGTGCTGCTTGTTGGCCAACCTGTAGCAAAGTGCGCATGCTGTGGCATGCAAGCTTTAGCGAGGATCGAGGAGTTCAAAGGGAAACGGATGAACTGTAGTGGTCCGCTTGGTTGAACATGGACTTATCAACTGGAATGGAGCGACGCCCTGCGATTTTGTGTGAGATGAAACTATTGAACCAAGATGGGGTGGGCCAAGAATTGGGGAAATGAAAACAGGGGATAAAAATTGAACTTGGAGCGTAACACTAAGGATGAAAAAGCGTAAGAAAACGAAAAGGACTGAGCAGTAGCATCCTTACCCGTATCCACCATTCTCAATGCAGTACATAGGGCGCCATTTATTATCCTCTGCGACGGCCAGAGCATCAGGAGGTTGTTAGAAGGAAAAGTCATGGTATTGTATTGCGTCAGCAGGATACTGTCAGTTTGCCCCGGCCTAGACAGGAGGACGGTTAGGGTTCTCAACCAAAGCCTTTAGTTCAAATACCTGACCGCAAAGCAACGGTATTTGCAATGGGCTGCACAGAGTCCGTTTTGTGGTGTAAGCAGCCGACCCCACTCCAACACCCAAACTGGAAGGCCAGGAGCCTGTGTTTGTCTGGCCTCTAACCATTGACCAATCTGGCATGAGCGGTTCTGAATGTGCAAAAAGTGTCATCCAGCGTAGCTCAATGGATCACTGAGGCACACAGACCATCGCACCACGGTAAAGTCCAGTCCCATTGCGATGGAAGCTTTGCAGCTGGTCCACGTCTTTTAGCACTCATATTTTTCCTCTAGCTGAGTGCGGAAGGTGGGGTACTACAGGAGGGCCAAAAGTAAGCCTTGTTTATCCAACCCACAGATGTGGACATATATTTCATAGGGCATCGGTGGGTCTTCCGGCTAAGTGAGAGCAGGGTAGAATAGTGCTACAAGGCTGGCACAGTCCTGCCAGACTTATCCCGATTTTACTGACGGCAGTACACTATCGGGCCCGAACAACACGGTCACTATGCAGCGACCCAAACTACTCATTTCAGCGTGGAGGTCTCCCTACGAAAACTGCCACAGGTCACAACTGAGTTGTTCTCGGTAGGAATACGGCCAACCTATCCCGCATAATTTCCACTGAACTAGTCCCAGTCTAAGTATCGCATATCCCGGACACTTCTCAGTTCAACAGCCTGCCTCCTGAACTGTGTTCATGCCAATGCCTTAGCCACCGAGTACACCCAGCAACTGTGATGTGCCCAAGGTCTCAGTAGCATGGAACGCACCCCCTGTCTGCCCGGAGACAGGATCACTACATGGCAACTCATGTGTCAACAAACACACGCCATCCCTTATTGTTTATAAAATCACTACTGTTTTATTGAATTATGAATGTGAAGGTGTAGAAAGCACGGTGGCCTTGGTTGAGTCAGTAAAGGCAGTCCTACTATTGGCCAGTCTTCTTTCTGCGGATCTCGGTAGGGTTTTGCGGCGTTACGCGTTCCGTCTGCCATTTCAGCTACGAGTTCACGTCTGCCGGCTAATTCCACTAGCCGTTCCAATTCGGATCGTCTAGTCTACTCTACGCTTGAAGGAGTTGGTTCGTACCTACCAGGTCAGTCGAAACCTAACTAAGATATGTAGAACAAACAGAATCATCATCATCATACATGTTGGCTAGAGGTGGGAAACACCTCAGGTACTGTGACGCAATACCAAAGGCTTTGATTGAGAACCCTAATCGTTCTCCTGTCTAGGCCTGGGCAACCTGACAGTATTCCGCCCACGCAATACAATGAATCTCTCTTCCAACAAGAACAAACAGAAACACAAATATTAATCCCATTTATCCAACCTAAGGATGTAGTTATGTTCTCATGAGCTATCAACGTGTCCCCAGTCTGAATAACACGAATAATGAAGTAGTATTACAGAGGAAAAAGCAGAGATAGATTTCAATTGTCCAATCTGTCGATGAGCCTATGTTTTCCGAGGCTATCGATATGTCATCAATTTAAGAAGTATGCTAAGACGTCCTCGTGCAGGAGGAATGGATGAAAGATAGAGTTTATTTGCCCAACAATAAATAAGGAAAAGCTCATTATAAAAATAAGATATGTACACCTTGTATCAACAAGCTTTTCTACCCATATTTAATCATACTTTTGTAAATTCCGCAAGTGATGGATATTGTCAGCCGCGTTTGTATGCACTCATTCGTCTGTACAACACACGCAAAACACACACTGTACACGTTAGCTAAAAGTGAGAAACACCTCAGCTACTGTGCCGCAATACCTAAAAGACAAAAAGAGCATAAAATTCGACAGGTGTAAGCAAGCTGAGCTACCGGTAACAGATGGGCATCGTTCCGGTAAGCAGCCTGCCGTCTACTGCAGCAGAAAAAAAATAATTTACTATGCAAAATTATGTAAGGCTAAATAGTGAGATCGTGGTTGGAGGGGAAGGCTGAGTGGGATGGGGTGGGACAAAGAAACTCATAGCACGAACGCCACTGAGGTTGGCTCCTAGCCACATCAGTAAGTGTATCCAGCCAAATGTGTTCATCGTCTTTCGGACCCCAACCACGGAGCTGTGACGCTCCAACTGAGGCCAGCTTCGAAGTGAACGCCTTCATTCCTCTCGACCAAGTCATCGCTTGGCCACCCCTCCTCTTCTTCCATCCACACATCCGGCGCGCAAACAACGCACGTCGCGGGAGTCGGTGGGCTTGCATGCGTAACCCTGGCCGAGCCATCGGAGCCTGGTGGGTGAAATAACTGGGCTGAGCGGTTTATTTTCTATTCCTGTGCCGTAAACAAGGCGTCGAACACGTTCGTTGCTAACTCGGTGTTCCCACCAGATGTGAGCTAAATTGCGAAGGCACCGGTAGTCGAACGTAACTAGCCTCTTTATGTCCGCTAATCTAAGGGGCCAGGTTTCACAACCACGTACAGTAGAGTCGAACGTACCGCTGCATTGTACACTCTACCCTTCAGGGCGAGAGTGATTTCGCCCCGGCGCCATAAATGGCGAAGGTTAGCAAAAGCGCCTCGAGTTTTTGCTATACGGTTCGTGATCTCATCTTCAGTTCAGCAGGCGCTGATACAATTTCCCAGGTGGTTGAATTTTTGAACGACTTCTAGCTGATCCCTATCAAGGGTCAGCGAAGGAGGCGGTCCATGCCAATCTTGGAGGAAGGGTTCGCACTTCGATGGTGCAAAGCAAAGCCCGAAGTGGCTGACAGCCAATACTAATCTGTCCAGTGCCGATTGGCAGGACACACGCGAAACAGTTCTTCAGTGTTATTAACAGTTAGTTGCAGCTTAAATATCCAAATCGAAGATGAGCTTCTGATAGCATCGAATATTGATTAGTAAGGATGTTGCACCGTGGATATGTGAGGCAACTAAGTGGCCTTATCTCATGGTCCTTATTGCTTAGAACATACCGGGAAGATTCTTGGAATCCGACGGACTGGTAGTAACCGGTATGTATCAGCCTACGGCAAATTCGAATAACAGACATAGATTCAGCTTTCATCTGCGAAACTATCACGGTTCGTTTTTTAACAGATGGCATATCTTTATACGTCAGTGTTGAGGTGCAACCCATAATTCTTCGTAAGATACTCTGTGTAAATTTCGTTTGTTAGTTTTTTATGATCCCTTTACACTTACCTTCAGGCCATTTCAGACGCACGGTTGAAACCTTCATCGGTTATGCCTCCTTGCTCTATAGTGATGTGTTGTCGAGTTACTGCGATTATACCCACGATCACAGGGTTGCAAACAGAACGGATATTCCTTACTCACTAAGTCAACTACATTAATGAGGCGTTACCCGCAGTCTTCGTATGTTGCTGATAAATTCGCAGGCTCATGCATTATGCGCACTAGATAAATCTAATTTCAGCTCCCGTGAAGTGTAAAATGGTTAACTACAGGTGTATAGCACTGAGGATTCAATGCGTTGCACGTTACTTGTGTATGACACACTAGCAATCTGTGTCACATTTTAGTTTAGTGTTGCACCCTTTCTGTCATTTCCACTGGTAACAAACCGGAAAAGGTAAGCTTGGTTTTGTGTCTAGAATGGCCACAACAATTTATGGGGGGAGAGAATAGTCGATGCTATTGTTTAGCTACCCCACCCCAGGACCATGATTTATGGATAGGTTCTCCGATAACACAACTACGTTTGTCATCTATGACAGGTAGGCAGAGGGCTATATGAGCAGTCTATTTGTCCCTAATCTAAGTACAGACAGGTTAACACAACTTTTGGTTCATGGGATGGCCACTACGATCGCTTTAGTAAACTTAGACAACCGACCAACCCGATATGAGGAAACCAACTCAGTACGAGCGGCAGAGGTTTCTTGGCTATACAATTCGCACAATCTGCACGGCTGGTTGGGGTGGTTGTTTGCAAAGGTATCACTAGAAAAACAGACCAACTTTTCACCAGATTCCGTATACTTACATATTTTAGCAGATACAGCGACAGAAACAGATAATGTATGTATCTTGTGGCCCTAATTGTTCACCCAACACACCGTAAGTTCAAGAGTTGAATGAAATTGACACTTGTGTTTCGTGTTAAAAGTAAACGTTCATTCCACTGCTGCATAACTGGTGTCAGGTAGCCGATACTACGCATTACCTTGCAGATGCACGTTGATAGGTAATGTGGGAAATGATAATACCAGTAAGATTAGACCCCGGTGCGCTTAACAAAGACTCTAATATATCGGCACCAACGGCTGACGGCTACATGTGGTACGCACTTTAGCAGGCGGGTGAACGGATCACGTCTGCAAATATTTTAAACATTTACCTGGTGACTCATCAAAAATCTTTTACACAGTAAACTCAGACATACTAATAGTAATCTTCCCCGACACAGGTATTCGAGGCTGCGAACTGCTTCAGTGGCTTCATTTGGGAAACAACCGGTTGACAGCTTCAGCTCTGATGGGTCTGGACACGACCAAGCAGTTTTTTGGTTCTGTTGACTCTTTACGTACATTCCATCAATCATCCATGAACTCTTCACCGCCAGGACGCTCGCTCAATATCAGACCTCCTTTGTTGAGTCTTACTTCACTCCGCGTGCTAAACCTGTCCGGGAATTGCGACCTCTCCACGGCGATTGCTTTTCGAATGACTGAGCAAGAGCGAACTCATCTCAAACAACTTGGGAACTCAAACTCACCTCAGAGCACACAAGACCACCCAAATGTAATCCAGGATTCCGAAAACTACGGGATCTTCCCTATCTCTGTGACACACTTGTATCTCAGTGGCTGCAGAATATCCGCTTTGTCTGGCCTAACAGCTCTGAAGCACCTGAATGTGCTCAACCTGAAGGACAACGAAATCGTGGACAATTATGAGCTAAAGTGGGTATATTAAAAACAAATATTAACCCTGCTTGCTTTTAACCAGAAAACTTCACGGTCTACGCCTACTGCGTAATTTGGATATGAGAAACAACCCTATCTGTGAGCAAGCTAATTACCGATTTCGGGTTATGCACTTTCTGGATCAACTGAAGTGGTTGGATGAAGAAGAGATTTCTCCTGAGGATTATGTAAGTAAACGAAGTCTGACTAGTAACTGGAGGATGTGCCGCCTGAAAATAGTATGTTGTTTCTAAAGCATGTGTACCACCACAAACTATTCATATCAGCCCTGGGAACATTTGTAGACCAAGGTTGCTGTTGAACTTACTACCTGCTTGTCTTTCCGCACGGACTATTTTCTAGCTACTCGCAGTGACTGTGACAAGACACAGTTGTCCGCGAAGCAAAACTGTGCATATAACTAACTCGCATCCAGTACATATATTGTTAGACAAAGGTAACACTGTTGGACTTGTAACCGGTATGCATACTGCTTTGTCCGAAATAACGCACCTCATACCTGAGCATTGCCTAGAGAAAAATTAGAAACAGGAGTTCAGTACCCATCTATTATGCAAACACACACACACACCAAATTTGGACGAAAGTGTTGTGTTAATAGATGGGAATGTGGCGGTTAGTAGCCTCTGAATTCAAATGTTTTCCTAGCGAAAGTAACTGATATCTCTTTACCTGTGCATAGTATTTTTGTAGCACTGATGTAAAATCATCAAACCATCTGAGCACGTAGTTGGGTTCTTTTTGCCCGAAAAAAAAAAAAAAGGGATTTTAAATAGGGGGGGGGGGGGGGGGGGGGGGGGGGGGGGTTTTGAATGGGGGGTTAATTGGGGGGGGGGGTATATTTGGGGGGGTTTTATAAAAATCAAAATAATAAAAAATATATAAAAAAAAATAATATATATGTGGGGGGGGGGGGGGGGGGGGGTGTTGGGGTTTTTTTTGGTTTTTTTTTGTGGTTTTTTTTTTTTATTGATCTATGATTAGATTTTGAATATAATTATTTTATTTTGGAATGTGTTTAGGATGTGTAAATTTGATGATTAATAATTTTTGTGGGATATAGAGTTTTTTTGGTGGTGTGTTGTAAGATTTAGATATATATTAGGAAGTTTAGGTTATTGTGGATAATGAGGGTTGATTAGGTTATTTTTGTGTTATATAATGGAGTTAGTATGTAAATAAGATATGTTGATTGTTGATGTTTGATGTTTTTTTTAGTTTGATTAAATTATAAATTTTATGTGGGTAATTTAAAATAATATAGAAAAGTTGAGGAGTTAGAATTTTTGGGATAGTAAGTGGAGTAATTTTATTTAAGAAAAATTTTGATAAGGTGTAATGTGAGTTTAAAATTTAAAAAATTGTAAAAGGCATATATCACTGAAATATGGTGACGGTGCCAGACCATCATAACTTGGAAGTTAACTATCACTCTGTTGATCCTTTTGGTCGTTAGTTGTAACTGCTCGTGGATCCCTATTTTGATGCTGCTTTGTAACAGCCTTACCTGCCAGTTGGTCTAGTACAGTGGTTCCCAACCTTTTAGACGCCGTTACCCACAAAGGGGGTTGCCCACCAGACTTTTACCCCCAAACTTTCGAAAGACTACTACGTAATAACTATTGCACATTTCGCTCTAAAGTTCAAAAACAAATGTCATATGTAGTTTCACGTGCTCATGCAATTGAAGGAAACACCCCTTCTCACTACATAATTATCCGACTTAAGTACGAGAAGTGATCGGTATCCGGAATCTCCCTCGACAAATAAACGAAAGAAAACAGTACTTTTAATTCAAAATTCTATGCAAACAAGAGGCGATATACATCAATGAGACGGTTGGTATTGTTTGGTGGTAACAATTTCTGGGATATTTGGTGCAGTTTCGGCCAATGCACATCGCAAGTCGTGCTCCAAGTTCATTCGATTCCTTGCTTTTGTTTTCATTACCATCATTGTCGAAAATGCACTTTCACATTTATAAGTTGTTGCAAATGGGATCAATATTCTCAATGCGCTTTCCGACAGTAATGGATACTCTTCACCTATCCTTGCCCAAAATGTTACTAGTTGCGTGCTTTGGAAATCTACCTTCAATCCGCTGTTCTCGCGCATTCCTAGGAATTGTACCTTGATTTCGAATTCAGTATCTGGAAATATTCCTTCAGCTACTGTAAACGGTCTTGGCACCCAGGCACTTAATTGGCGAGTTTCCAAATCAGGAAAATATTTGCTGATGGAATTCATCACTGATGACAAGTGGCGAGATATTTCATTCGTGAATGCGCATTTTTCATTTCTTTCAACGAGCACCGTCGTTAGTTCTGGAAATATCGCCACGTCGTCAACATCAACCGAGCGCTGGTAAAGCTGCAGTTTGCGAAGGAAACCGGCTACTCTATCCTGAGCGACTAAAATGTTCATCATATTCCCTTGCAGGCTGAGGTTAAGCGCATTGATTTCTCCAAAGAAATCAGCAAGATAAGCAAGTTTCGAAATAAACACGCTGTCCGTTATAATAACGTGTAACTGGTTTCCCTTACCCTTATGCATCACTTTTCTTCGAAGAAAGATTGCAATTTCCTCTCGAAGCTGAAGCACTCGGTGCAACACCCTGCCTCGTGACAACCAACGCACTTCTGTGTGCAATAGTAGCACGTCGAATTTGCCTCCAAATTCATTGCACAACTCTTTGAAGATTCTTGTGTGGGTCGCACTACCGCGGATGACATTTACTATCTTTACTACTTTGGTTAACACGTCAAGTAAAGCAGGTGGAAGAGTGCTCACTGCTAAAGCATAAAGATGTATGATGCGGTGACTAAAGGTAGCGCGCGGAGCAACATTTTTGACCATTGTTTGGAATCCGGAACGGACGCCCAACATGGCTGGTGCTCCGTCTGTACAGACACCCACTAACTTCGACCACAGTAACATGTTTTCCTCGAGGAACTTCTTTACTATTCGGAAGACATCTTCGCCACGCGTAGTCGTGCTCAAGGATTCTGAGAACAAGTACTCTTCTTTGAAGCTATCACTTTTTAGGTACCGAACATACACAAGTAGTTGGGAACAGGACGCTACGTCGGTCGACTCATCTAACTGGATTGCAAAGAAGGGACTTGATGTTATTTCGTTGAGCACCGTGTTCAAAATTTGTTTGCTCATGTCCTCGATACGACTTTTGATGGTGTTGTTCGTAGATGTAGGTAGATGTTATAGATATATATCATTTATAGAAATTAATCTCGTTATTCCATGCAGGTGACATTATCGCAAACGTTCGCGGACAAATATATTTTTGTCGGCATCAAAGCCACTGAATGAAAATGCTCACCTGCCATGACTTCTCGTCAAAAACAACTGCTCATGAAAGTGATCAACATAACACCTAATGATCACTGGCGTCCAATCTGCTGATTCTATGTTGGTTGTGACCCCAATTGTATCGTTTCTCTGCCCTTTCAAACGCCTACCGTTATCCCGATTCAGGCCCTCACTTGACCCCATCGTGTCTGATTCCTAATCAAACATGAACATGTGTTTCATTCCTCCGTTCCACGTTATTCCTCGACATTTTCCCGACACCATTCTGTATCCATACCTTGTGAACACTAATCACTCTTTCTCGCCGTTCCTACTGTCAAACATTCACCTGCGAACATAACTGGTACTTTGACCAGTGCTGAAAAAATAGTTTGCTATCCACCCCGTTATTCGACCCGGTGAACGACTGGCTTATTCGAAAACACGGCAGCAGCTGTGGCAGTCGACAAAGGCGCCATGCCGTAGTAGTTGCATTGACTGATGGCTGACTAATAATGCTGAGCAAGTTGCGATGTGTGATTTCGTTATTAAGCTTATTTCGCGACTGATTTGTGACCAAATCAAATTATCGGTATTTACCCCGCGGAAAATGCCATTTTACCCATTGGGGGTAATTACCCCCAGGTTGGGAAAACCTGGTCTATACCATTTCCCGGACAAGTTGTCCACTTGGGCAACAGGAATAATCTGAGGGGGCATTCAACATGAGTCTAGTCAATTAATTTGTTCCGTGCGTACCCCACTCACTTGTGCAGGTGTGTAGGTGTGCGTGTATAGCCCGTCGCCTTCAGCCAATTGGACCTCAGGCGCACTAAGTCATAGGGGTGTATGTGGGGCGCTTCAGCTACTACCAGGGACAGTGTCGCTGGCCGATGCATAAGGTTGGCCTTTCTTTCGCTGTCCTAGGAAGCGATTCCCACCAATTAGAACGAGAGTAAGGACTTGAATGACGATTGGTTTGGTATAACGAGCCACAGCCAAATAAGTTTGCCGTATGCTTTTGAATGTGCAGTTCACCATCGGCACTCGAGGGAGGTGAAGGACGTCGTACTGAAAGCGTACGAGGAAGGGGACGATTGGAAGCAGGTCGCTTGCATACTGAAGGTGAACGTGAAAACTTGCCGCAACTGGATCCGGGCGTACGAATCGACGGAAACGGTGGGACAGCACGGGGGAGTTCGTCGCTAAGCAATGGGAGAAAGCCACGTCGACTGTCTGGTTGAGGGGGATTCTGCAGAGCCTACCGTTACCCTTGAACTCCTTCGTTTGCGGTTGAAGGCAGAGTTCGAAGTTTCAGTACGTACCAGCACTGTCTCACGATACTTGGATGGTAGACTTATAACAATGAAGAAATTGCACACCATTCCGGAGTCCATGCACACGCTGGAGAACAAAAAACGACGCAGATCATTTGTTTTGCAGCTCATGGATTACGAGGTGGAAGGAAGGCAACCGGTGTGGATTGATGAGACCAACTTCAACTTATTTTGCTCCCGCACTCGTGGCCGCTCACGACGTGACAGTCGAGCGCAGTGTACAGTGGCGAACAGCCGGGGACCGAATGTTCATCTTGTCGGCGCCATGACAAACAACGGCTTGATAGCGTGTTCGGTTCTGAGAGGAAGTTACAACAAGCAAAGGTGCGCTCAGTGGCTGCGACGAGTGCTTGATACCAACGGAACAGGATTTGTGGAAAGGTGTATTTTGATTTGTGACAACGCGCCCTGTCACACGCACCTGGAGCACGTTTTTCTGGAGGAACCGTACCGCTCTGGGAGACTTCTACGCCTTGCGCCATACTCACCAGCTCTCAATCCCATCGAGGGCATATGGAGCATAATAAAGGCTCATGTAAAACAGGCAATGTAGGGACGGTACTCCGAGATGCTCCTGGGGGATCCTGAAGGCATTAGGAATAAAAGCGAGTGGCGCATTCGCTTTTTGGAGCACGCGGTGTCTGAAGCACGGGCTTTAGTGACGCAGCAGCACTGCAAACAAATGGTTCAACATGTCAGTAAGAATTATGGACGTGTTGTCCATTTGGCCGATATGTAAAACATTCTGTTGGCAGTAAACTACCTGTTCTAAGCGAGTGTTGTTCTTACCTTATTATGATGACGGGTCAGAGTGAACTTTATACTCTGCTAGAAATAGCCAGTTCTCTAATCGGGGGAACATTGTGGATTTCCGGTAAGTTGGTGCGTGTGGTCGCGTCGCATACCAATTGTAGTTGCCGCGTTGTAGAACAATCATATGGGAGCTTGACAAACAGATGCCACTCTAACACGGTTGTGTAACCAACTATTACGTTCTACCGCCTGTCGTTGATTGTGTTTGGAGAGCCAGTGGATAAGGAATTTGATAAGGGCATAATAAATAAGAAAATTAAACTATGCAGACTTGACGTGCATGGGTAAGGTGTGTGGCCGTTTGCCGGATTGCTTAACCAATTGCACCAACACAGGCGGCTGGACGGTGTAAGCGGAAACGCAGAGTATGTAGGACAAGCAGAACAAACCTTGATCACGCTCT